GATGGTAAAAACAGGTAAGTAATCGCTAATGTCATTAATCATCAAGCCACTTTGTATAATTATTTCTAAATTGTTGGTAATAATATTGTCTATAAGTGTTGCACAAGTGCTTGTCATTCTGCTAGGTTGTAGGACTGCAGAAGAAAAAGCTTTGGTCCTTAATGTACCACGAAACTGGGAGATCTCTTTACATTTGGATGAACTGAGAAAATGAATATGTGTTTTATATTTAAGACTTTACCCATGATACCATCAAAGGAAGAAATGGACATTCACGTATTTGACACAATTTAACCAACAATTGACCAACTTCACATTGGTATCTTTCCTGTAGTAGGTTGATGCCATCAGTAGGCCTCACATCCCCTGCACGTACCACACAGAGTTTTTAGGACAAACCGCTAATGTCACTTAATTTTAGTCAAGTTCATACACTGACCTTCTTCAACAGCTTTCCCTCGGAGCCCTCCATGGATGCTCTAGTACTGCTGCTGTTATGGTGGCGTGTTTTGGGTTTGTTCCGTTTGGCATTCACACAGATGTAATGCCTCGATGTCCACTCCACCTCTTTATCTGTCCGCACACGGGCTCTGACACGGGCGTCGCTCCTCCCTCTCCTCCTCTCATCCCGCGTCTGCACTATCACTTTCATCTCTCCTCCTGTACTTACATCCACCACTCTCATCTGCAAACACCGTATTCAAGCGCAATCCCTAAATCTCCCAAAACAAAATTATAATTTCAGTCACTCTAATCTAGTAAAATATTGTAAAATCATGACCTTGTTCAACCTGTTGAATGAGAGATTATAATGTACAATGTTTTATTTTATGTCAAAGTGCATCAGTGAAAAGTCTTGTGTTTTCAAACAGTGTTTCTGTCCATGTATGCGACATGTCCCATAATCCGGCATTTATTTCCTCTCTCTGCCTCTGATCTCTCCTGATGTAGGCTTGTCCTCAATCCTCTGCACTTACTGTGCTTCTCATTGTTTATTACAGTCACCATATGGACCTTTGTCCAAATGTGTGTGAGAGCAATGAAATCTAACTAAAATAACTGAAAGATTACAATTTTGTTTTAATTTTTTATTTTTTAACCAGAAGATACAGAATATAATTTTTCGAGCAAGTTAGAGCACCCAAAGGAAACCTACACAGACAAGTGGAGAATGTGCAAACTCCCATGGTGCAACACTGTGCTGCCAGGGTTGTAGACACAAATAACCATCATTTATAAAGATTATGTTTTTTATTTATTTATTTATTTTATTATTTTTATTACACCTGTATTCAAAAATTCACATTCACTAGCAAAGAACCATGCCACAACAATGGGATTTGATAAAGATATTTATTAATAATATGGATAGATATGGTGGCTGGAAGACTCAGGGTGGTGTTGAGAGAGCAGAGACAGACGGTATTGTCAGGATTGGCCTCTAAAGGACATCGGGGTAAATGAAGCTGTGGTTCGCTGAAGAGGAACAGGAGGAGGTTGAAGTGTGGTCCTACTCCTGAATCTCAGTTAATCATCATGTTTACTCCATGTGGAGGCACTGGTGCTCCCCCACAATATCTCATATTTCATATTTCTGATATTCCAACAGAGGTATCATCAACTAGTTAAATTTTTTTGTCTTTTTTGTATATCAAATAATAATAATAATAATAATAATAATAATAATAATAATAATAATAATAATATCAAATAAAATAAAGATTTAGGTTGGTTGGTTCTAGGATTGGTTATCCTGAATACACTTTTCAAACTGGACTGAACACTTACTGTAAATAAGAAGGGCTTTATGGAAAAACTAAAACTAAATGTATGATATACTATTTTCAAACTGTGTGTCTGTATACGAAAATGAAGTAACTGAGCTGTGGTATGTACTTTAAACTTTCACTTTTATTTTCTCAGTGGTTCACACAGTTGTTTATAGTTTAGCCTAGACTAATTTACTCATGCTTATAAATTATGTCATAATAGGTTGTGAACTCCAATCATGTTATAGCAGCCAGCCTCTATTGATACTTAGGTCCATATGTAATATTCAAACCACGATCCTCTCAGATTCTCAAAGAAGAACTTCAGCCCACCCCTTCCTCTTCTGGAGTTACCATAAATGTCAGCACCAAATCAGTGGGCTGCCCCAAAACAAGGAAGTTTTCTACTCCACATCTACAGTGCTTCAACTTTGACAATCAGATGACAAAGTAAAGTCACTCATTTATCACTTGGTGTGTTAGATTAGCTCCAACAAACCACCAGAGAACTGCTGCTGAATCTAAAGGGTAAGAAATGTTTTTTTTTAATTCTCAAAAGGTAAGGATTAGCTGGATAGATAGATAGATAAATAGACAGATAGATAGATAAATAGACAGACAGACAGATAGATAGATAGATAGATAGATAGATAGATTAGGATGACCAAACGTCCGTTTTTCCCCTGACATGTCCGTATTTTGCGTTCTGTCCTGGGCGTCCGTTTTTTTTTATAAAGTGATGCAAATGTCCGGGTTTTCAGTACCGTTCATTGGGGGCATTAAACTGAGCGTCTCTAGTAGCGTCTGTGACTCAGAAGGAGCGAGACACAAACAGTCGGTCAGTCTGCAACATACCAAAGCACAAATGCGCATTTAACGATGACTTGGACAAGAAATTCTCCGTTTTCCGTCCCGGTCGGGAAAAGTGGGAGTCCATGTGCACAGGTTGTGAGGGGAGAGTACAGTGTCCCTCGTTTATCGCGGGGGTTACGTTCTAAATATAACCCACGATAGGTGAAATCCGCAAAGTAGTCAACTTTATATTTTACAATTATTCTATCTGTTTTAAGTCTGCAAACCCCCCTTTTTACATCCTTCTTAAAACTTATTGGTGCTGTCGTCCTTCTTTATGTAACGAACTGAAGATTCATTTATTCCATAATGGAGCCTACAGCGCAGAGTCCTGCACTGGTCCACAGGACCGCACCTGCCCGTTAACCCGAGATTATATCAAACTTTTGCGCTGCCTACGACACGGACTTAACCAAGACTAAAACCAGGACTAACCCAGGACTGATTCCAGGACTGATCCCCCAAGGTGTCCGGGTTTTCATAAACGGAAATATGGTCACCCTAAAATAGATAGATAGATAGAATGCTTTTTTAATCCGCAACTATCAGATCGAGCAGATTCGCACAGAGTGTGTAGAAGCCCTGAGGGGCTCTCTAGGGAAAGGGTGTGTAAAACGCACCTTTGCAAATATTACTACCGGTATATTAGCCAGTGGACCATAGACTCACTCTATAAAATAGATGGATTATTTGTCTGTCAACACAGCGGATACGCGCGCAAACTGAGTGCGGGAAGAGCCGCGGCTACATCGTCTGTCACTGTCTGCTGAACTAAAAAAAAAACAAGGCGATACAGGCTTTCTACAAATTCTTCATGCATTGTGCGGCTTGTTATGTTATGAAACGTTTATGGGGGTACAGGTAGGCCTAGATATGTTGGGGGTGATCGCCAGGGCGTGTTTCGGGCCAGTCGAAATTGAAAACGGGGTGGGGACCAAATGTGGACCAACCCACCAGGCATTTGCCCGGTCGTACAGATTGCCAGCCCGAGCCGGTCTAGCAGCATATAATTAGAAATTGAAATGTTTCAACTTGTTCACAGTGATTTGATTATTAGGTTCTCTTCAGGATAAAGAAATACCATACCATGCTAATGAAAACTGCTGTTGTGTTTTTAGGCAAGAGACTATTGTATAGAATAAATTTTGTGTGCTTTGGGTGCGTCCAAAGACAATGCATTATTATATTTCTTATGGCTTATTGTCACTTGTCCACATGGAAATGTGCAATAAATAATTCATTGGTGTGATATTGGTACATTATGGAGTAGCCAAAAACAGGGTTAATCTTATCCTTAACTATATGAGAGTGGAAGGAGAAAACCTATCTTCTGTGTTTATCCTTTATCTAATATTTCTACCTTTATCTAATATTCCATCCAAATTACAGCTCCGTGTGGTAGTAATTCTGCTTTTCAGATGTAGTTTACTTTACAACTCGCCCTGATTTTTAAAGTACTTTTTTAGTACAGTTAATGGGACAACAATGAGCCAGTCAATAGAAACTGGTATGAATATGATAAAATCCAATCAGTTGGAGAGGTGCCCAGGCCCAAACAGCTCCATGATAAAAGCATCCGGATTACAGGACCTCAAAAGCATAATCCCTCATCATCACGTCATGTTTGTTTGGTGAATCAGTGAAATAGTGTCCTCTGCTGGGTCAAAATAAAAGAGCACCCAGAATGTTTTATTTTATGTTTTATTACATAACAAATTTATTTTATTTTTAAAGAAATCAATTTTATATAAAAATTAATCCATGCTCAATTCGTAGGGAAGTTAGTAAAACAAAGAAGGCAATTTGTTGTTTAAAATTTAACATTATACTATTAAAGCTACCATCTCCTGTTGTATTCTCACACTTCACCACGAGATGTTATCTACATTACTTCTGTCTGATAGTACCAGCCAGCTGTGGCCTGACAGAAGAAGACCAGAGAGCACTGGACCGTTTCTCAATTTCCAGTCTGCAGACTCTTTCCTTGTGTACTCCCAGGTAGAGCTGTGGGAGCAGACTCTGAGAATGGACTTGACATTTCTCTATCCATATACTTGTGCATACTTGTGCGTACAGCCACTTGTGTAGCTGATCACCGTGAAAAGTTTGTTTCAAAGTTTATGGTTTACTAAAAGCCTGCCGCATCTGTCCTCATATGTCTGTATAATTAGATATAATTAGAATACAATAATATTGCTTTATATTATCCAAAAAAAAAAAAAAAAAAAGCTAAAATAAGATATAATTTCAGCAAAGAAAGACACACTGACGCACAACAGTTTATTAAAAAAACATATAAGAAAATCTTGTATAAAAACATGTATATTTATAATACATATTTTGAGTGAAATCTGATTTATTTATTTATTTTTTGCTGCATAAATCCATTACAAAAATACATTTTGAACATAGAACAAAATCTCAAATTCAGTCTAATTTTCAGCTTTGCACTGTGTTTTCCTCGATTTCTTCCCGTGTTAGTTTATGTGGATTAAAGTAGTTATTCTTGACCGGGGACTGGTTATCTGTTGATTGACTTGGAGACCGTTGATATCTGAATGTTTGCATTTCACTGTTTTTCCTCTTCATGTGTGCTCTTAAACTTTTCCCTGGCACAAGCAGTATCCCTCCTCCCTCTTCAACTAACCCGTCAAAGACTGCTCCGAGACTTTGGCGTATGCGGACACAAAAATTTGGACAGCTAAAGGCGTACAAAATGGGGTTTAAAACAGGATTTAAAAAGGCAAAAGTTGTAGCTAGCGGTAAGCCAACTTGAACAAAGTCTGATTTGTCTCTCCAATACTCTGCAATTACTTCGATAATGCAGAAAATGTGATAAGGGGACCAGCAAAGTACAAAAACTGTAATGACAAACGTTACCATTTTAGTGAAGCTTTGGGAGAGCTGATTTTGATTGGGCACAGTGGTAGGGGAGGTAGGAGAGTTAACTGGTGTCAAAGAAGCTGATCGAACAGACCTAAACGGCTTTAGAAATATGTTAACTCTTGGTGATGGTGTCTCATTGCTTTGAACAATCAATGTAGTGGCAAGCCTGCTTGCACTTTCCCTTCGTCGCAATCTTCTTTTCCTCAGAGTTACCGCTATATGGATGTAACTTCCAGCAATGACCACCAGGGGGATGAGGAAAGCGAATAGCGTTTTCGAAAAGGCCGTGGCTTCTTGTCTTATCCTACAGTGTCGTTCTAACATATCTGAGGAACTTAAATACATGGCAAAATTATGATAGCACAATTTTCTCTTGTCCTTTTTCTGAGTAATGGAGCGAAAAATAAAGTATGGAAAAGAGTTGATTACAGCCCACAACCAGCCTAAGAGACAAACTTTCCATGCGCCGTTTACTGAGCGGTGATTCTGACACCACACTGGTTTGGCCACCAGGAGGCAGCGATCCAGAGAAATCGCAGCCAACAGAAAAGCAGATACAAACATGTTTAGAAAGAAAATTGAAGTTTGGATTTTGCAAAGTGGTTGTCCTAACTCCCAGCTGTGATTTGAGGAAAGATAATAGGTAAAAAGTGGCAGTGTCAGAGTTGTGAGAAAATCCGAAATGGCCAAGTTGAGCACCCAAACGGAGGCGACGGTGCGACGCTGTAGACGAAAGCCCACTACCCAAATGATGAGTGCATTTTCTAGGATCCCCAGACAGGAGACCACGCCATGGATGCACACCAGCACTATGTTAGCCTTAGTATTGTTGTTGACACTGTGGTCTATCATAAGCTGGAGCAGGGGGCAGACTGGGACCTGCCCTGGGGCCTCGGTGCTGTTGGACATTTGGGAATCTGAAAGAAAAAAAAAAAGTAAATTGGTGCAATAACATTCAACAGACCTATAATGTGAAGCAGGTTGTTTAATCTGATATTGAAAAATAAGTGACGGGTTAAAGTTGGATGGGTCAAAAGAGTCAAAACTCAAATCTCAGTTTACACAAGGTAAAAGGTTTACAAAAAAAAAAAAAAAAGTACTTTCATATTACAGTTTTTTTTTACTAAAAAAAAAAAAATCTTTTGTATACCACTGCGTGCAGGAGCAGGCAGGTAAACAACTCTATACTTGCATTTTTTGAAGATACAGCTATTAGTTTACTCAAAAGCACAGATGTCATCAGCTATAAGACAGAAACTGCTGAAGTGGTGCATTGGTGTGAGGAGCACAACCTTGTGTTAAATGTGGGAAAGACAAAAGAGATTATGGGTGTGGCCCCTAACTCACTTCAGCAAATGTTTGAGGAGACTGTTAGGAAGCTAGGCAGGAGAAGGTCAGGCAGAAGGGACTGGGTCCCAAACTGTAAACTGAACAGATTCAGATATTTTTTTGTGCCATTAGCCGTTAATCTGCTCAACTCAGATAGTGCAATTAAAGAATAAAAGTAAAAGACTTAGGGAATGTGCAATCAAGACTGCACATAGGACAAGGGAATTTGCAATCAAAACTGCACATAGGCTTAGGGAGTGTGCAATTATTAATAGAATACAAGACTGCAAAGGGCTTGCCTGTAAAGAGTGACATAAAGGTCCTGTGTATCACTTGTGGTCACACTTGGTCTCTAATTTATTTATGTTCTATGGCGGTGTTTGTATGGTGCTTTTGTTGTTGTGTTGTCCTGTCTTTGTGATAAAGCATGTGATCATTTGTCCCAAGACAAATTTCACCCATTTATCTTGAATAATAAGAAATACTAGAAAATATTTCTTATTATTTCTTAATAAGAAATATTTGAATTGCCATTTAATTATCAAAACGTTTCACCAAATCAAACCAAATCACCAAACTCAGTGTTTGAATGAAAACTAAAGTCATAATATCCACGTAACAGTCCTTAAAATGAATGGCTGACAGGAATGAATGAGCAATTACCATTCAACAGTTCAGTTAATATCATTAATTTGAATAAAAACTAATTTGAAATACCACATTTTTAGAGCCCGAGCCAATATCTCACTAATGCAGTCCTTCTAAGTTTTGGGATATCATTCATGGCATAACATATTAGAGTGTAATAGAGACTGTGGTGAAGTAGGTCAAATATTTTTTTCAACAAAGGAATTTATTGTAACTGTATTGGCAATGCTGACTTGCCATAACTTGCAAACAACAACAAAGATAGATGTTATTTCATACCACCATACCATTTTAACTGTCACTGCATTTATTGTTAAAAAAAACAACTATGTTTTAGCTACCTTGAAGACTTTCCTAAAAGTCAGTTAAATAGACACATCTACAAAATTCAAAGAGATAATCTGCAGTAATTATGCTTCCAACGCTATTCCTTCAATTAATATGATTCAGCATTGCTAAGTTTTTCCTGGGAAAGTGTAATATCAAAGACAGGAGTCTACGTGCCTTAACTTGAAAATAAACATGAATCACTTGGCTTACATTATACAGCCCTGCAGCAATACTGTATTAGGCAACAATAGGTAGAGGCACCTCTGTACATAAACCCCACTAAAAAAACAAACAAACAAAAAAACAAAACAAAAAAAAACAACTGAGATTCTGATTTGTGAAAGCAAAACACAGGAATGCACTTTTCGGTTTTGTCTCAAAATAAACATGTTGGTGCCTGTTTCAATAATGGTGCAACCACATACCAGACCTTAGCTTAGGGCTCAATGAATGTGTGAGAAAATTAGAAGATAAAATCACATGCGGGTCATTGCTGGGGTGTAACTCTCAAGTGCAAACACAGTAACTGTGGCTGATGCCTAACATGTAGAGCCATATAATACCATTAATGCTTTAATAGCACCGCAACATTCCAACTTTTTTTCATTTTGACTACTCTTTATCCAGAATTAGGAGTTGGGACTGGCATGGAGGATCTAATATCTAAACAGATACTTTATATGGGCATCCAGAATATCCTGCAACATTTAGACATTATGACAAAAGTAGTGCTGAAATGTCTTCAAGTTCTAGTATTGAAAAAACATGAATGGATGGGAAGAATAACCACAAAGCGTTTCAGTCTTGTTTGGAAGATTTCATTGCATGTTTAATGCTCTATTCATTTAAATAATTTGCATTTTTATTTGTATTTTCTAGTGACTATTTATTTAATATAATTGATATACTGTTTAATATAAGCTAATATTTAATAAGGTAAATATAATAAAATGAGAACAGTCTAACATCTTGTCTCCACATGAAAACAGTGACTCACTATTCCCATTGCAATGATCTCACTGCTTTAATTTGAATGGAAACCATCTAATGATCCACAAAAACACTTTTTTTTCATAATTTGAATTGAACTTTTGAAAAAAAAAAAAATATATATATATATATGTATATAGAAAAAGAGAGTGAGAGAAAGAGAGAGAGAGAGAGAGAGAGAGAGAGAGAGAGAGAGAGAGAGAGAGAGAGAGAGAGAGAGAGAGATTCAGGCAAATACCAGTGAAAATAATTCTAAGTTAATGGCTAGAGGGTTTATATTGGTGAAACCATACTATTAATTTCATTTACTGTTTATTAAAAAAGCATATCTATGTACAATTATGACTTGGCGAAAGAAAAGTATGTTGAGTTGAATCGGTTTTGGTAATTTTAACCCTCTCCAATACTCCATTATTTGATTGAACATGCCTTAACAACTTGATAGTAAATAAATATAATTGTCTGAATTCCAAATTTGTCTACTACCCCAAAGCCATAATCAAACCCATGTTCAACAAAAAGTGAATGTGTAAAGGTAAGTTAAGGTAAGACTGACCTTAAAACTTGGCAGCATACACGTATGAAGAGAGCTTAGTGTTTCAAATTCTTGTCTTGTTTTAGCCTGTGTCGTTAACTCAGACTCTATAGTTGTGTCACTATAGCCGCAGAGATCAGTCAGCTCCAGTTGCTCCTCCTTTCACTGTGCATGATGGAGCGTGTGAACAAACTAGGCAGAATGGCAATGCAAATAAAACAAGATACACAGTAATAAATGGCACAAATAGAGTTAAACTGTCTTCTGGGCTGATAAAGAGCAAGTCATAAAGGGATCATGTCAATATATTTAGTTACTATGAAATGAATATGGTAGTGTAGTATGTACTATTGTTTACAAAAGCTGAGAAGGTCCAGTGGGCTTCCTATGAGTAGAGAGTCAAAGTCAAACCCTCTCTCTTTGTTTTGTTTTTTGTGCTTGTGGGCAAGACACCATAAACATTCATATAACTGTCAGCCCATCCCAGTCATTACATAGGTTTCTACCACTCATGGTAAATTTAGATTGTGAATTAATAATACACCTTATTGCAATATAACAGTGTTAGGAAGCCCAACAGGGTCTGCCCAAATACAAAACATGCAGGCTTGTGCTCTTTGCTAGACAACATTTCATATAAAATTTGCAAAGAAAGCCCTTTGATCTTTCCAAAGACACTATTCTCCTAGTGCCCACTAATGGAGAACTACTGACTTGACACGACACAAGGTATGAAAAAAATAACTAAATTGCACACTTAAAAAAAGAAAAGAAATGTAGTAGAAATTACAATTATAGGTAATTTATTTCAATATTTTATACACAATTTTGTCTACTACAGTATAGATTTTCTTTCTTGCTACCAAAAATTTGTCATTTAAATTATATGCTATCATGTTAACTTTTATCCATTTTGAATTTGAAACACACTTCTGGAAAATACTGAAAATACTTATACAGGCAATAAGTTTTTTGTCTTTTTCCTTTCTGGAAGTTCCCACAGCAGATTGTCTGCACAGCAGATTGTCTGCAATGCAAATGGCATCTGGTATGCCATTTGTTTTAGATTTTATTGAGGCGTAATCATTTTCCTATATGCATTGTTCCTCATAAAATGTCAAATGATCTTTCAATGGCCATTTTATCTGACTCCTTCCCTGTCTTATCTCTCTGCCTCCAGATTAACCATGATTTCTCTGCTGGGCCTCGCTGTATTGGCAGTAGCCCTAACAGAACCAGCCCGGGCCTTTGTCTCGATTGGTGGCAGGGACTCTCACATCTCTATTACCTCGACTGCTATATTACAGAAAATTATGGAGACATGCGAAGCAGAGGCGAACAAGAATGGTTATGAGTTCAAATCTACGGTAACTTATATATTTTAAAAAGTCATCCTGAAGTTGTCCATAGTAACAAAGATTTTGAGGGTCTGGTCTGAGGACAACAAGAGTAAATCACAAGTTCTTTGACAATACGATATAGTATCAATTCATAGGACCCATGGTATAATTGGTGATAATAGAAATATGTTGAGATACGATTACTGCCCCTCTATCATTCAGACCTACAAACAATATGTTGATTCTACAACTTGTGATCTGAAAATACATGGGAAATAATGTTTTAATATAGCTCCTACATCAGGGGTCTCCAACCTTTTTTCTCCGGTGAGTTACCTTTACAAAACAAAAATGCCAGAGAACTACCAATTTCAGCAGTCGCAAAGGAGCTGAGTAGATGAGGAAGAGTTAGATGCTCATACAACATAAACCATTATCCATTTATCGATGCACCAAGTTAGGCATCAAAATGATACATTTACATTGATAATTGATCAAATTTTACCAATTATCTGCAATACATAATATTCAGAAATCTCTTGGCGAGCTGCTTGGAAGAGGGTGGAGACCCCTGTCCTACATAGATACAGGACCACTTATATTTCTCATATGATGAGCACTCTCTAGAAAAAACAGAAAAAAAATAATACAAAATATTTTTTATGTCTGTCTGACACAGGGTAACTCTCCTGAAGAGATAGTACATGCCTGTCTGGGTCCCACTGCTACAGGTGATGTATCTGGGGCTAAGTTTCACTCAGCTCTCCAGGAAATCTACATGCAGAATGCATTAGTTGACAGAGACTTCGTCAGTAGGTGGGTTCATTATTTTCATCTTATTAATATAGTTTGTATAAAAATGTACCAACACCACTTTCTATTTGTTATTAATCCAAACTATTGAAATGGTCAGCAGAATTATTGTAAGATCATTTTACAGTTGGGATATTGGCTAAAAATTTGACATGATATAGGAAAAAGCCTACCTTTCATTCAAAGTGAAAACCAGTTAACATGAGATGTATTTGTCTACCTTGTCAGTGCCCCTCATCACTTCAACTCTGAGGCGTTCCTTGAGGGGAGGAGTCTGATCACTGAGGGAGTAGCGGCCATAAAAGCGAACATTCGAAAAGAGAAGTTCCAAGCAGCCAGGGAGACTTTGGGCAAGATCCTTCACACTCTACAGGTGAGAGAAACAAGGCTAACAAAACTGTATGTACAATGCTTTGTAACATAAATGAATATGAAACAGATACATTTATAGCAAAAAAGGCTGACTAAACAAGTGTGAAGAAAAAGTCAACTTAATGTCTAAAATCACTAAAACACACCCACAGTTACTCATAAGAAAAAACTTGAAAAACATTCTATGCGTTCTGGTCAATCATTAAAATAGGCCAATAATAAAATAATTGGGTGCTCTAATTTATATATAATTTATGTAAAATTAAATAATTTAACAATGATTAATTATTAAACATAACATAACAGCCCTTTATATGTATGTGTCCTCTGCAGCTCCAGCAGGCGTAATCTTGACCATGTTGTTTTGACATAATAGAGCCTAAATTTGCAGAGCAGCTGTTCTTTCCTTTTGTAAATAAATAGTGAGCATACCGTTGGCCCTCAGACCAGGCTGGGCTTGACTTGTGTTATACAATCGAGGACTTGTCACGCTTTCTATAATCAGAATTTAGGCAAGCTATACATTAGGGAGCATTGCAAACTTGACCTATATTTTATATTTTCTTCCATGAGATTTTCAGTATACAAAGAGAGGAAGTCCTGTTACACAAAAGACCATTCTGTGAAAGCATCTATTTGATGCATGTTATGAGTTACAAGTTATGCATGTGCATGTGATGTGCATGTTATCTAACAGGTCATATGCTCTAAACCAGGGGTCGGCAACCCAAAATGCTCAAAGAGCCATATTGGCCCAAAAAAACAAAAACCATACCTGCCTGGAGCCACAAAAAATGAAAAGCCTTATATACTGTAAGCCTAATATGAAGGCAACATAGGCTGTCAGTATATTAGCTGTATAAGCCTACTATTAAAACGACTAAGTCGGCTACAAATACAAAATGAGCATTCATGATTACACAAACCCCTTTTACGACCCTCTCATACTCGGTGCGCCGTCTGTAGCCACTGAAATCAGGTGGTTAGTGTTGATTCCTTTGTTATTTAGGCCCCGTTTACACGTACACGGGTATTTTTAAAAACTGAGACATTTCCCTTCGTTTGTTCACATCGTTTACACAAAAACGGTGAATTCGCCTCTGAAAACGAGTCTTTCTAAAAACTCCAGCTAGAGTGGAGATTTTGGAAAACTCATGATTCATTTGAATTTTTTGCATATATTTATTAATTGATCTAATGACTAATGACGTGTGTGTTACTATGGATATCAAGGACTTCTACAGCCACAGTAACTGGGTGGAGCTGGGTTACAAAGAGCCATACCTCAATCTCATTCGTCCAGATCTTCCTATAGAAAACATAGCAGGTGAGTACTTTTTCACTTCTATTCTTTTCATGGGTTATCTCACCATCACCCACCTTCAAATATGGAGTGACAACAGTGCAGCGCTTTGAAAGGCTTTATCAGATTTGATCAAGCCTTTATCAAGCGTCAAGCACTATTATTAATATTACATTATTTTATTATTATAATATTTATAATTTTATTCTAATTGATGGGTGACCAATGAAGCCCCTTTGTTTAACATGTGTCACAGAAAAAAAATAAAAATAAAAAATCTGGTCTGATTACATGTGTATGTAATCAGACCAGTGTGGCCTAGCTCAAGGTCCAAGTGGAGACCAGATTGATATCACCCTCTGCATAAAAAATATAGAGAGATAAAATTCTGGACTTGCCATGCAAACTACAGCTACTACAGGAAAAAAAATATAATTGACAATATAATTTTGTCAATATAAATGTAATATTAAATAAAAGAAGAACTACACATTTAGACATTCCTATTAACACTTTTAACTCTAACTGTTGTTGCTGTAGATTTGGACACTCCCACCTGCAAAGATTGTGCCAGTGGAACTTGTCGCAATCAACTCCTTCCTGACATCCTGCAAAACCAGAAACTGACGTCTGGATACATGGATATCAACTCAGATAAAAAACCCTCTGGTATAGCTGTAAAACAAATATCATAGTTTTAAATTAACATTAAGAGGAGGATCATGTTTCTTTTGACTGGGTCTCATGGGTTGCCAAAGTGAATCAAATACATCCATCTAACAAAGGGTATAAAGAGTTTGTAGCTCCCCCTTCAAGGTACCCTTCGTCAAAGGGGCCTAGAGCAGCTTAATGACTTGCCTGACCCAACAGTCACCATGACATTCTGTATTGTAAGGCTGGTCTTGGAAGTAGTATTTGTAGTGTTTACACCTTTCATGGGAGTTCTTTTATAAAAATCCAGTCCATATAGTAAAAAATTTCCACTGTGCAGGTAAATGCAGTCATGGTGGACCATCTGACCTAACTGGAATCACAGTTCCTCGTGGGGGCATTCACAAAGACTTTAGGCGTCCTGATAACCAGCAAAAGTACGACAGCGGTGAAGGTTGCCATGAAGGCAACATTGCAGCTGCTGGAGGACATCCGCCGGGCCGCAGGTGACAAAGACTTCCTCAGGTTAATCTCATGTATTCATGTTAACAATATACACTCCACCTAAAAATAACATCTGATAATTATACTCTTGCATCAGAAAAGTGATGTTTGCTTCTTTTTATTGCAGAATGTTGGGCATTGCTCGCTCCTCTGTTGTGTGCTTTGTCATTGACACAACTGGCAGCATGTCGGATGATATTGAAGAAGCCCGAAAAGTGGTATATGAAATCATTGACAGTAAAAAGGGAACGCAGGATGAACCATCTGAGTATATTTTGGTGCCTTTCAATGACCCTAGTATGACCTTTCATATCTGTTGATAGCTATGGTGATATAAATGTATGATTTAATTCCATTACCCTTTTGTTGACATGTAGAATTTGGACCTGTTACCAAAACAGTAGATCCTGAGATCATGAAAATGGAAATTTCAAAACTTAACGCACAAGGAGGTGATGATGAGCCTGAGATGTGTTACTCGGGTATTCAGGTACTTAAAATTAAAACATTTATCTTTCATTATTACTGTAAATGTATCTAATAAACTGATTGTTTTGCAGCTGGCCTTGACAACTGCCCCTTCCTACTCAAACATCTATGTTTTCACTGATGCTTCGGCCAAAGATGCCAACCTAAAAGATACACTTATTGCTCTAATCCGAACAACCAAGTCAACGGTAAAATTACCAACAAATGAATCTCAAACATACACTACCAGTTACCAGTACCAGTCAGTGCTACCTCAAAACCTCCATCTTACCCGATTCCCCTTTTAGTCCAGGACAAGAACAGGCTTTTAAAGAGTGTAGTAGCCAAATTGAATCTCTGTCAATGGTAGCTATGGTTGACACGATTACGATGGCTATTGTGTTTATGGGCTATCACCATTCTTCATATAAGTCTACAGGACATCTTGGATCTAGATAAAAGTCACTTTATTTTAATTATATGTAAGAATGCATATAAACAAACAAACCATGATTTAAATGTAGTGATCACAAACAATTGGCCTGGTCGCACACCGAAATGCATCATTGAAAGGCACACCTTTATACCTGGCCTAACCCTGAGCACCAGGGGTTATGTTATACTATAAGGCGAGAGTGCAATAGACTCTGCCACTGTGCCACCATCTAACACTTGGTCTTGGAAAGGACCGAACCATGCATCAGGACTAAACTGAGCCAACCAGTGTGAGTTTACCCTCACATTGTGTGTGAACCTCCACAGGTCAACTTCTTCATTACAGGCAGCCTTAAGAGACGACGTCGCTCGACTGGAACAGGATCACTTAACGACTACAAAGACCTGGCTCTCGCTTCAGGAGGACAGGCCATTCAAGTGACCAAGGACCAGCTGTCAACGGCCACTGATATCATCCTGGATACTTCCACATCTGCTCTGGTACTATGGCAAAAAAGGAAACACAAAGATAAACCTGAACTTACTGGTGGATTGGACTAATGGCATGGCAACTAAAGTCCTCTTAATGTTTAAATTATGCTATGCTATGTTTTTTTCAGGTGACAATTCTCCAACAAGCAAGGAACCCTGGAAAGCCAGACACGTTCTCATTCAGTCTGGATGATTCCCTGAAAAACATCACCATCTACATTACTGGCACATCTCTCAGTTTTACACTGACAAATCCTGCTGGTAAAAAGCCTAAGACACATTTTATCAGTTAACTTAAATATATGACCCAATTTTTTGTATTTTAGGTGTGACCCAAAGTAGCAGCCAAACCACTGGTGCCCTGGCAACTATTAAATCAGTTGGAAACCTTTGGCACAGTAGTTTAAATGCTGATAGAGCTACAGGAACCTGGCAGATCAGCATCACATCCAGCAACCCATACACAGTCAAAGTAACAGGTAAGAAGTAAGTCAATCTTAAGTACAACCTGACCATAGTGAGGGCATGGTGCTAGCGACAACAAGAAGGTCATGGGGCAGACATTGCTTTTCTGTATGGTCCATGTGGTACTATCAACCTATACAGGCAAAATAGGCTAGTCCTTAATTTGTTAGTTATCCTGGCTCAAAGTCTAGATATGGGTCCCAGGGTGCTATGCTACAGTCACCCACTGTCTGTTGTTTATTCATTTGGATAAACTATTTTTACTAAATTAACTGTCACCAAATTGACATCTACTGTGTTCCCGTCCCAACAGCAGTGAACAATTGGTCAAATGTATAGGACAAATTTCACAATAGACAGTAAAGTATATCAACAATATGGCTCATGAAAGACTGTTCTGTCACTCGGTCACCAGCTTCTGTCACCACTTCCTTGTTTGTGTCTTGCTTCTTCTTTCTCATCACCACCGATCACCTGCCCAAACCAACCTAGCTCTTATCTGCCTGCAGTTCCTCCCTCATCTGCATCTACCAATCACAACTCTGCAACTGCCACTATTCTCCTTCTTCTCTCCTTTGGGGTACATTGCTTTCCATCCCCGGTGTCTAGGCTCAGGACAGACAAAAATTCCATTCTGCATCCAGATCATTCCTCTCCCTCAGAATCCTTGCTGTCCCTGCATCTGATGATTCTATTAACACATCAAAGTTATTAGTTATCAAATGTTTGGTTTCTTATGTGCACAGCATGTAACTATCAGTGAGATCTATGAGATTTCTGTTTGTTGCAGGTCAGAGTGTCATTGCCTTCATCTACGACTTTGTAGAAAAATTTGAAGGCCCTCACCCAGGATACTCTGTACTAACAGGACGCCCACAAGAAGGTAATATCAGATGATAAAGCAATATCCAAAATCTTTGACAATCTGAATGATCACAGACAAATCTTTACATTATCTTACATTCTTTAGGTCAGCCTGCCAACCTGATGCTGCCTGTAATGGGTAGAAAAGGCCCCAGTTCTCTGAAAGTAAAGGAAGTCAGTTTAATTTCGGTGTCCAGCTCTGGCTCTACCAATGCTACGATCTCTGACATGGGGAATGGAGTGATCCTGGCCACTGTCCCACTTGTGCCCAAAGAAGAGTTTGTGGTTCGTGTGAAAGGAATAGATACAGTTTCAAACACAGAGTTTCAGCGACAGTCCACCACTCAGATGTCTGTCTCTAAAGTCAACATCCAGGTTGGTTTGTAATGATCTGTGTGCTCATCAAAACCTAGTCAGACCAGGCGGCAGAGAGTATAATTATAACAATACAACTTTTGCTGTTTTTTAGGCCACTGTATCCAGCAGTATGGAGCCAGGTAAAGTATTCACACTGCCCTTTAGTGTCTTTACAAATGGTGCTGGAGGCCAATATAAAATCAATGCTCGAAATGACAGGGATTTCTCAATGACCTACCCAAGCAGGTAAAAGAAAGTCATTTGAATTATATAAAACTCTTACAATTATACAAAAATGCTTTTTTTTATCATTTAGTCTCAGTGTGACATCAGGACAAAATTCCAAAGCTGAGTTGACAATAATGCCCCCTGCTGACACAGTATCCGGCACTGACATCACCTTGACCCTGGAGGCATCTCTTGGCTCTGACTCCAATTACGTTGTACTGAGATTTTCTGTTCTCGAAAAGGTAAATGGAACATGGTATTGTAATAGGCCTATAGGGAAAAAAAATGTTTTATATGAAAGGAAATAATGATATTCAAAACAGTTATCATGCTTTTGTTCATTCTGCAAAGAAAGCAAAGATTATCATTGCATGAGTCAAGTTAAAGATACAGTTTTCTTTTATATGGGGCCATTATTGATAGTTTGTGTGACGACTGTAGGCACAGCTCTAAGGCTTTGTTAGACTTTAGTCTGAGCTTTATTTTAACACAATATGACCAAAAAGAACTGACTGTTTGAACAAAGCATGTGAGCTGATTTGTGCTGTTAAACAACTCCCTCTAAAACAGTGCTTCTCAAATAGTGGGGCGCGTTTGACCTCGGGGAACATGCTTTTTTATTTTTATTTTTTTTTACTGTCCTAGAATAAAGTGCAATTGCACTTCCACTACATTAGGGGGCAGTGGCGCTCTCATTGGCAGAGGGTGCGCAGGGAGCATTCGCTCGGTGGTCATGGATCGGTGGTGTAGGAGTTTTGTTCGCACTGAGCATGTGTGACCGGTGTGTTTTGCCCTCTCTTTTTATCTCAATGACCCACGGAGGCTGCTGGAGTTTGGTGTGACAGCAGTTTATTCTGCACAAAATATAGAGAACAGTTGCTGTGAATTGATTTGTAGTGGACATTCATCATGTGTTTCATCTCGTCTCGAGTTCTCCATAGCAATGAGTAGTACACGCAACAACATTCAGGTTATTACAACATTAAGTCTTTTACAATATTGTAATAACAAAAATAGAACAGCAGCATTACTCAATACTCTGTAAATAGTTCTTGTGACCGTATAGTGGATTTTCTTACTATAAAATAAAATAATTTTTTTTTCAACGGGCAATTTATATTTGTACCTTCAGTGCAATTTGCCTGTCTGTCACGTTTTTCTAATTATTTTTTTTTCTTTTTCTGTAACGTGCAACGCACTTAGAATAATATAACCAGATGTACATTAGCATAAAACATTTGTACCTTACGTACCTGCACAAAATATAGAGAACAGTTGCTGTGAATTGATTTGTAGTGGACATTCATCATGTGTTTCATCTGTAGAAAACAGTCATTTATTAGCCGCTAGCAAAACTAAGAAAAACATGGTCAATTCAAATATACTGTAAACTGACTTCAGCAGATCATGGCCAAACAAACATAAAATACCTCCAGTACAACACACAACTGTCAGCTTAGCAATAAAATAGCTACACATGAGTGAATTAATAATTTTTGTCCACACAATTTCACAGCCACGTTACCTCGTCTCGAGTTCTCCATAGCAATGAGGAGGACTCAGAATTCGCACGAGTTTAGTAAGTGCAGGTACGGCGGGCACCAGGAGATGGCGCTACTTCACAATTTAGCTGGATTTAGCAACGTTCACATTAACTATGTTACACATGCGCGCTTTGCACACAGCACAGAGTTTGAGTATGAAGTGTAGACACGAAGTGTAGCAGACCCTCAGGTGACACCATGAAAACATATTTAACAGGGATGAGAAGACAGGCGGAGAGAGACGGAGATAAAGAGACAAACGAGATGTTTTATTCTTCCTAGGGGGGCATGACAGAAAATAATTGAGAAGCACTGCTCTAAAATAACATTACAGTCACAAGCTAGCTAGTATTAGGCAGTTTTTCAGTTAGTCACTCGCTTTTGTGCTCTTGCTGAAAATGAAGCACCGAATGCTCGTATTGCTCATAGGCTCTTGAAAATATGTTTAAAATATGATATTTTATTTTGAGTTTTCAGAAAAAAAAGCTTTTTTTTTTTTTAATATGTGCATTGCAGCCATGGATCTGTAATAAAAAATAAAATTATAGTTCTACGATTGTAGCTCCACGTTGCCTGCTGAATGTTCCGCCATGTACAGTCTGCATCATTAATCTCTATGTACAGGCCAGCTACTAACTATTGAGGCTGAAACGACGTAAACCTAAAGATCCTTATTTTTTTCTCTTCTAGATTACAGATTTCTACCCGCCCTTGTGTGAAATCGTCAGCGTACAAGTCGCTTGTTCCCACGATCTGTCTCAGTGCCATAGTTCTGCGTGGGAACTCGTGGCGAACCTCACAGACGGAAACGGCACCGGCATCGAGAGCGTGAAACTGCAACAGGGCAACGCGAATCTCACCGAAGTCATCCACGGAGATCCTGCTCAGTACCGATACAACGCCTCCTGCTGTTCACAAGTGGTAGAAATTGTAGCTGTTGATAAAATCGGAAATGTTGGAAAATGTTACCACTCCATCGAACGCAGCGCAAGTGCTCCTGCTGAGAGACTGTCTGTTCTGGTGATGTTGTCGCTTTTGTTTTCACTGTTTATTGTCAGGCCAAATTAGACTTTCCATTATAAAACTGATGCACATTGACATGCACACGAGAATTGTGTACTATAGTGAGTGAGACTATCTTTTGTGAGTATTTTAAAATGTAATAAAATAAAATAAAATCTATGAAAACTATTTGGATTTAAATGTATTCTTGGAATAGGTGTCCAAATCAAACTAAAAAAACGCTTGATACTACATAGAGTATAATAAACTACAATACAATACAAAAACAAAGAAAACTGTATATGTCCAAAAGAAAAAAAATAGAAAAAACGAACCTAAAAAAAACAAGCAATTGTAAATACATGAATGCAGGTACCCTTTCAGTAAGAAAGGGCATGAAATGAAACAAAGAGTAGATTTGGACTGGTGTTCTGAGATTTTAATTGTGTGTATTTCAGTGTGAAGGCTGTATCAAATGGTGAAGTTCCTTGAGTGCATCACATGTGTATATTAAACATTGACTTTATATATTTGTTTGACTATTACACATTGAATTGTTTAACCACTGAAATCTTATGTATGTTTAAAGGTACCACTGTGTGAAACATGTATGCTTTTGAGGTACTCCTTTGCAGATATAGGTTGTGTCCTTTTAAGGAAATTCATTGTAAAGTAGCAGCAGTGGAGATGGTTCGGCCTGGTGCGAAACTAAACAAACTGGTGATTTACATTGGGCTGCTGTCAACTCCCTAAACCTAAAGGAATGCAGAGATACTCCAAGGAAGATTCAAGGCGTTACCTGTTCAACATATTATTTGCATATTCATATGGATGTCTATAAAATCTGATTTGAGGTATTCAGAGGCGTCCAGATTTGCCTGATTTAAGACCTGTGTAGTCGTAGGTGGTCAGGGGTAACGATCTGACCCAGAGCTCTGTATTAGAATTGTATTGTTTAGGGAATAAATTATTTTTGATTTTAATCGATCGATTCCAGTGGTTATTTTTAAGAGAACACGCTTAATGGATTTTGAAGATACCTAACAAGTGTTATTAATGATGTGTAAAACAGTGATTATACTTGTCTGACTTCTTGGCTGAAGCATTAACTGGCTGACAAGAAGAAAGAAAGTAGAAGATTCATTTAAGCATTCAGATATGGGTTCATTAGTGGTAATAATGCATGTATGTCACTGTAAAGTTCTCAACCCTAACCCTAACCCTAAGCATTGAAATACAACATGTGCGTCCTTCTCTATTTGTTGTAATAAGTTGATATTGAATGACTTAATAGTGATGGTCTTCAGGTAGGGTGGACATGCCTTTAAGTTGTTGCAATCATTAAACACTTTACCACAAGAAGTACATTGGTGTTAAGTAATAATTTGGTTGTATTGTAGTTATATTAAATTATGTTGCTTCTTTCTGACATCAGCCTAGTTTAGTTGCAGGTCAAAAAAGGTTGATACACAGAAAAATTTACCATTAACACTGTTCTATGATATGGTGTACAAAATTTTCATTCAGGGGTTGATTATGGACAAAACCAAATTTCAATAGCAATGGTATTTCACTTTATTTTGTTGCTTCCATATGACAACACAGGGTTAAGACTGGTTAAAATCATTCAGTATGCTCAAAACCCTTTCAATCTTATGTTGCCATTTTTCTACTTAAAAATACAAAATGATACATTGACTAAGGTGGGTTTGTTACTTAGCTCATTAGATTCAGTATATCCTACACTGGTGCTACATAAGTTGGCAGTATGTTGCAGGAAATACACATAACTATAATCCACAAATTGATACATTTACGAGGCCACTGAGTCAGCAGAGTATCACCATGATAAGGTTTGTTGGAAAACCCAACGCAGACAGTTTCAAAGTCCTGGATACAGTAAGTTATATAAACTCTGTTCTCCCTGTGACTCTGTCTGGGGTCGTAGCAGTGGACTAACGCCAAAGGTATGTGTTTTTAGAAGAATAAAAAAATTCCTGCTTAAAATGTTTAAAAAAAATCCTGCTTAAAATGTATACTCACAAAATAAATTAGTTATTCATTATTTTTTTCTGATAATATTTTTAAAAATTTTGGTGTGTTTGGTTTATTCATTTTGTTAATTCATATATATATATATATATATATATATATATATATATATATATATATATATATATATATATATATATATATATATATATTTATTATATTTTATATATTATATATATATATATATATATATATATATATATATATATATATTTTTTTTTTTATTTTTTTTCAGGTAAGTGTTCCAAGTGTTTCTAAGTGTTCTTTGTTAATTTTCTATTTAATTCATTAATTTAATAATTCAACATTCTATTTAAATCATACATGCTGCTTAGCTCAGTACCCTGCAGACTATCTGCCTTCAGTCAAGGGATTTGTAGTTTCATTTTTTTTTTTGTTGGATTCAGTCTTTGAAAATAATAAAATAATAATTTTTACTAACATTAAATGTTCTAATTATCCTTTAATGATTATCTTATCTCATGCTCTCTCTCTGCCTTTAATTATTAACAGAAATAATGTTACCATGTCTGCAGTTTAGTTTTAGAAATCTGCCACTTCCTAATTTACATTGTTTTTAAGATTGCAACATTTTTCTTTTTCAGTGTTCATTATTCTTTTACTCATAATCTTTAAATTACCAACTTACTTGACTCCTCCCTGTTTTATTTCTCTTCCTCCAAATAAACCATGACTTCTCTGCTGGGAAGTCATGGTTTATCTCATCTCATAATCTTATAATGACCAACTTATCTGACTCCTTCCCTATTTTATCTCCTTGCCTCCAGATAAACCATGACTTCTCTGCTGGGCCTCGCTGTATTGGCAGTAACTCTGGCAGGACCAGCCCTGGCCTTTGTCCCGATTGGGGGTGGGGGCTCCACTCATGTCTCTATCACTGGGACGGCCATGCTACAGAAAGTTATGGAGACATGCAAAGCAGTGGCGGCAGACAATGGTTATGATTTCAACCCAACGGTTAGCTATGCAATATGACTACAAGACAGCAGTTCATCAAAACAATAGATGTTATAAACAATAGATAATAGAAGAGATATTTCTGTATAGTTTTGTACACTCAGACAATAAGAATCAACAATGGTATTCTAAAGAATTTATGAAAGAGAGCCGAGCACAGATAAGTCGTTGATGAAGCTCACTTGTGTAATTCCTTAGCAAATTTAGTTTACATTATTAAGTATCTTGCTGATGATAATTGAACCTTTGACTAAACTTTATTGCCTTGGCTTTACATAACAGATACATTGAATACACTGAAATATTTTAGCATTCTTTTCATAAGAACATTTTTATGCCTGTCTGACACAGGGTAACTCTCCTGAAGAGATAGTACAGGCCTGTCTGGGTCCCACTGCTACAGGTGATGTGTCTGGGGCCAAGTTTCACTCAGCTCTCCAGGAAATCTACATGCAGAATGGCTTAGTCGACAGAGACTTTGTCAATAGGTAAGACAGTATTATCTATAGTGTAATAGTTAGCACCTATATCACATTACTATTCCTAATATGATGTACAAAATGCATTAAGTATCCACTGAAAACTGGTTATTTCTGCTAGTGGCTAGAAGTTACAATATCACAATTTGCAACAAAAATTAATTTGTATCTGCACCCTCTCTCTATTAAATATTTTAGGACTGCAAATATACAAGTAAAAAGGAAAAATCCTAGATTTATGTTAAAACTAGCAAAGATTTATTTGTGTTATACCTTGTCAGTGCCCCTCATCACTTCAACTCTGAGGCGTTCCTTGAGGGGAGGAGTCTGATCACTGAGGGAGTAGCGGCCATAAAAGCGAACATTCGAAATGAGAACTTCCAGGCAGCCAGAGAGACTTTGGGCAAGATACTTCACACTCTACAGGTGAGAGAAATAAGGCTAGTGCTGTTGTTACCATCAACACTCACGCACACATCATATTTATACTAGGCAATCTGGGGGACGTGTCTTGCCTAAGGACACAAGAGCTTGATCCTCTGACTTTCAGGCTGGGAGACCACTGCTCTAACCACTGAGACACTATTGCACTTCAAATGGTTGCACAGACTAACTTACACAATGCTTTGTAGTATAAATGAATATGAATAAGGAGAAATGTACAGGTATATCAAAAAGAGTAGACATAAATAAAGTGCAAAAATATTAAACTTAATGTGGTCTCTAATGTCTGTTTATCATTAAATGCATATGACAAACATTCCACAGTGGTTTGACTTGTAATAAAACATATTTATTTTCTTTGCATGCAGTTACTAAATGACCTGATGACTAATGATGTGTGTGTTACTATGGACCTCTAGGACTTCTACAGCCACAGTAACTGGGTGGAGCTGGGTCACAAAGAACCATATCTCAGTCTCATTCGACAAGATCTTCCTATAGAAAACATAGCAGGTGCGTACACTGGTACTCCAATTAGAGGGAAAATTCCAGAAAAAGCTAACTTGAAATTGCTGATAAACTTGTCAAATAAGTGACATAACTTATATTGTAAAACTACGTAATGGAAACACATATTGCAGTGAGTTATAATTTACCATTCTGAATTGTTTCAAAATCAACCAGTGGACTAAATAGGGACAAAATTAATACATCTCTTTTATCACAACAGATGTTTGTAAAGTTGTAAAAGAAAAATGGGTCATGAATTAGTCTCTATCTGTCTTATCATATCAATACTGCAATGGCTGAAAATATACTAATAGCATTTTTTTCCACACAGTCAAATAGTCGTTTTTGTGTCATAGATATAAGCACTCCTACCTGCAGTGATTGTGCCGGAGGAACTTGTGGCAATCAAATCCTTTCCAACATCCTGAATCAGGGGAAGCTGACGTCCGGATACATGGGAATCTTCTCAAATGCAAAACCCTCTGGTACTACTGACAGACATACAGTATATTGCATAATTTATATCATAATCACCAAACTGAGGATGGCCAATAAAATTAATACAAAGATATATTTTCAACTCTCACTGTAGTCTTCAAATGTGCACATTCCAATTAATCCACTGTGGCATACCCAAAATAAGAACAAAATCAAGGATATGCCATAAAATAAGTGGCAGCTGCAATGCTTACACATTTTCCACATAAACTGCAGGATACACAAAAATGCATCATGTGCTTTTCTGTGCAGGTAAATGCAGTCATGGTGGCCCATCGGACCTGACCAGTCTTGCAGTTCCTCGTGGGGGCATTCACAAAGACGAGCGACGAACTGACAACCAGGAAAACCACGACGCAGCGGTGAATGTTGCCACGGCAGCTACACTACAGCTACTGGAAGACATTCGCCTGGCCGCCGGTGACAATGACTTTCTCAGGTTAACCTTATTTACCTGCTTACTGTTAATTACTTATACAGTGCTTTTTGTGTGTCTGTCTCTTAGACTTTCACACAGCAAAATAGGGATGTTTGCTTCTTTTCATTGCAGAATGTTGGGCATTGCTCGCTCCTCGGTTGTGTGCTTTGTCATTGACACAACTGGCAGCATGTCGGATGATATTGAAGAAGCCCGGAAGGTGGTATATGAAATCATTGACAGTAAAAAGGGAACGCAGGATGAACCATCTGAGTATATTTTGGTGCCTTTCAATGACCCTAGTATGACCTTTCATATCTGTTGATAGCTATGGTGATATAAATGTATGATTTAATTCCATTACCCTTTTGTTGACATGTAGAATTTGGACCTGTTACCAAAACAGTAGATCCTGAGATCATGAAAATGGAAATTTCAAAACTTAAGGCACAAGGAGGTGGTGATGAGCCTGAGATGTGTTACTCGGGTATTCAGGTACTTAAAATTAAAACATTTATCTTTCATTATTACTGTAAATGTATCTAATAAACTGATTGTTTTGCAGCTGGCCTTGACAACTGCCCCCTCCTACTCAAACATCTATGTTTTCACTGATGCTTCGGCCAAAGATGCCAACCTCAAAGATACACTTATTGCTCTAATCAGAACAACCAAGTCAACGGTAAATACATTATATTAAAAATGAACAAATGCCTCACAAATTAACCTATGATACAGTACCAGTTGTCAGTTATTTGGACAGTCCACCTTTTTCAAAGAATCATCTATAAGTGCTATGTAATTTTACATATTTAAAGACAAAATATTGACTAAAATGGGACTCATCAACCATAAACGGGTTTTTAAACATTTAAATCATTACTAAAAACATATTGAGACTAGATGTAAACTCATCAAAGACATAATACAATGTGGGACAAGAACCCTATAGAAAATTGTGTGCAAATAAATTACAAAGCTGGAATACCATACTCTTATTGTATGAAAACTTTATAGACTTTAAAGTACCAGAGACAGGTCTTAAACCAGCAACCCTAGGTTTTATAGGCATCCACTAATCAAGACTACCACTAACACAGTCAAATCTGGACTGTTAAAGCCATAGGTTTCAAGTTGATTTCTCTGGTCACCAAAAGCAGCAGATTACTTAGTTGCTTCAGGAGTTGGGCAGCATCTGCTTTTGCTTTTTGTTATACACCCAATGGTCAGACAAGAGACAAAAGATTTGTGAGCACTAGGGACAAGTTAGAGCCACGAGTAGCAGTGTACATATCTACCTCCTGCTATAAAATTCTTTAAGTCAGATACCTCAGCTTTAACAACCTCCACTGAACCTCCACAGGTGAACTTTTTCATGACAAACCTTAGAAGACGACGTCGCTCAACAAGAGGGGGAACATTTAACGACTACAAAGACCTGGCTCTGGCTTCAGGAGGACAGGCCATTCAAGTAACCAAGGGCGAGCTACCACAGGCCACTGATATCATCCTGGACACATCCACATCTGCTCTGGTAAGACTGCGACAATATTGGGCATTATAGACTTTTTTCTCTCAATTACTGAAAATTGATGGCCATGTTAATTGCTTTTTTGTTTCTGCAAACCTTAATCTATACATTTAAATTGAGAATAGTAAGCAGTGAGTACTAAGCTACTCTGGACTAGATTGGTTACACCTTGCAGAATGATTCATTCTTAACTAATATGGCACAGTATTGCCCATCTTGAAACTCGCTCTAATTCTCGATATAAAATCCACATTTATTTTTCCCAAAGACCAACTAACTAATTAATTAACTAATATCCATGACCGAACAAGTTATAAACCCATATGCTGCTTTATGAGGAATTTAACCTATTACCTGTGCTTGTGTTTAGGTGACAGTTCTTCAACAAGACAGGAACCCTGGAAAGCCAGACACATTCTCATTCAGTTTGGATGATTCCCTGAAAAACATCACCATCTACATTACTGGCACATCTATTAGTTTTACACTGAAAAATCCTGCTGGTAAAAAGCCTAAAACACAGTTAAATAAGTGAACTTGAATAGATGATGCACCTGTTTTTGTATTTTAGGTGTGACCCAAAGTAGCAGCCAAACTACTGGTGCCCTGGCAACTATTAAACCAGTTGGAAACCTTTGGCGCAGTAGTTTAAATGCTGATAGAGCTACAGGAACCTGGCAGATCAACATCACATCTAACAACCCATACACAGTCAAAGTAACAGGTACGTTAAGTAATTTAAATCATTTGGTGACACAGTGGTGCAGTTAGAGCCTCACAGCAACAAGGCCCGGATTCTCCAGTTTCCCCTACCACTAAAACCATGTACAACTCAACAATGTACAACAATGTTCAATAGTCTCCTAAAAAGAGATTCTTAATGTCAGTAGGACTATCCTAGTTAAATCAAGATCAATAAAAAAATAAATAATAAAAAAAAATACATAGCCTACCTAATTATTCAACTGCCATAATGAAATTGCAGGTTGTTATTAACAAAGATCTGAGATTTCTTCTGTATTTGTGTTGCAGGTCAGAGTACCATTGCCTTCATCTATGATTTCGTAGAAAAATTTGAAGGCCCTCACCCAGGATACTCTGTACTAACAGGACGCCCACAAGAAGGTAATATCAGATGATAAAGCAATATTCAACATCTTTGAAAATCTTCATGATCACAGGCAAATCTTTACTTTATCTTACATTCTTTAGGTCAGCCTGCCAACCTGATGCTGCCTGTAATGGGTAGAAAAGGCCCCAGTTCTCTGAAAATAAAGGAAGTCAGTTTAATTACGGTGTCCAGCTCTGGCTCTACCAATGCTACGATCTCTGACATGGGGAATGGAGTGATCCTGGCCACTGTCCCACTTGTGCCCAAAGAAGAGTTTGTGGTTCGTGTGAAAGGAATAGATACAGTTTCAAACACAGAGTTTCAGCGACAGTCCACCACTCAGATGTCTGTCTCTAAAGTCAACATCCAGGTTGGTTTGTAATGATCTGTGTGCTCATCAAAAGCTAGTCAGACCAGGCGGCAGTGAGTATAATTATAACAATATAACTTTTGCTGTTTTTTAGGCCACTGTATCCAGCAGTATGGAGCCAGGTAAAGTATTCACACTGCCCTTTAGTGTCTTTACAAATGGTGCTGGAGGCCAATATAAAATCAATGCTCGAAATGACAGGGATTTCTCAATGACCTACCCAAGCAGGTAAAATAATCTCCCTTAGAGCATATAAAGCTAAAGTTTGCACCTGCTTACAGTGATTGTTTTTACTTTTACAGTCTCAGTTTGATTCCGGGACAATACACCAATGCCACGTTGACCATAACGCCCCCTGCTGGCACAATCTCAGGCACAGACGTCACCTTGACACTGGATGCTTCTCTAGGCTCTGACTCCAATTATGTTGTTCTGAGACTCTCTGTTCTTGAAAAGGTAAAAACAAAAATAGTCACTAGAGAAGTTAATACGAAAGGAACAGTTGTTTGATGATTGTTCATTCTTTAAAAGCCTTTAGCTTTATTATTATTATTATTATTATTATTATTATTATTATTATTATTATATTTTTCCCTCACCCTCTGAAGAGGTTTTAGATGTCACCCATGCAGGTTTGAGTATTTTAGCGATCTATCCCAGACCCTCAGTCTCATTTTATCGTGGGCATATTATGTGAGCTATAATATAATGACTAAGGGCAAGAAGCTTTGAGCAGGTCTTGTCAGTTTGTATGATCTGTACCAGTACGCAGGGGACGATCGTGCCAAACGCTTAATCACTGAGACTGCTCATGTTTAATGACATGATAGACCTCATAGCAGTCCTACTCCACCGACCAAAGGCGCACGCTCTGGCTTTTGCCACAACAGCCAAGAGCCTTTACAACCTCTAGGCTGTTGTTGCTCGCTGTGCACTTTAACCAACGGTTTGCAGCTCCGAGCATTACATGTAAAGTTGGATCGTCCCGTCCCGTCCATGTGAATATCTGTGCTTATCCCGCGTTGCTGCGCTTGGCACAGTCGGGTGCGCACTTGTGCGCCTGGTCTCACTCGCTCCAAGACCTCACATCATTTTCCTTTATATTGTGGGCTTCAAGAAAAAGCTGGTCCAAAAATTATTCATTCAAATCAATCATTCGCTGTGTTCCTGAGCTGCAGTTTATAGCCACTGATTCTCTCGCGGGTTCTACAGAGAGATCCAAAACGAGCCTTGTATGCTTGTGTGCCTATTTTGCTCTGCTCAAGCATAACAGCAGCATGTTCCTGAGGGGTTGGAGGAGTTTGGGTTCTACATATGTTCAGCTCCCTGTCCGGCGATATAAAATATACATCTCATGCTGCTTTTTGGAAAAAAAAAAAAAAAAAAAAAAAGTAATCTTGTGGCACCAGTTTATATGGTAATGGATTTCTTTACATAGACAATACACATACATATTCTCATATTAATTCGTTTTTTCTCTACTAGATTACAGATTTCTACCCGCCCTTGTGTGAAATCATCAGTGTACAAGTCGCTTGTCCCGACGATCTGTCTCAGTGCCATAGTTCTGCGTGGGAACTCGTGGCGAACCTCACAGACGGAAACGGCACCGGCATCGACAGCGTGAAACTGCAACAGGGCAACGGGAATCTCACCGAAGTCAACCACGGAGATCCTGCTCAGTACCGATACAACGCCTCCTGCTGTTCACAAGTGGTAGAAATTGTAGCTGTTGATAAAATTGGAAATGTTGGAAAATGTTACCACTCCATCGAACGCAGCGCAAGTGCTCCTGCTGAGAGACTGTCTGTTCTGGTGATGTTGTCGCTTTTGTTTTCAGTGTTTATTGTCAGGCCAAATTAATAAACGTACAGACTATGTAAATGTTAATATGCAGCGCTGTGGACCAAAGATTTTTGCAGGATGATAGACAAAGGATTAAAGTTAATATATTTGACATATATTAAATATTGCAAATATATTTTTCAAAAATGATTGACTCACGTTGACTAATTAAAGATTTGGAATGGTTTTCCCCTCAAACAATAACTAAGCTCTGAACATGTAAACAGGGTTGTCAGGTGGGGAAAATGATTGAAATCTTGTTCATCAGAATGATTAAAATGACTGAATGTTACAAAATCTCAAACTGTAAATCAGTATACAACTTTCTAATAAACTAAACTATCCTGCCAATAACAAAATTCACCAATACCGGATCAATAGGAATTCAAGCTTTTTTCTTTGAAAAATAAACAATATATTACAATATACACACAGTATGACAAAAGCAATAATACAAAAACAAAAATAACACTATAGGCTACATTTAGCCAAATTATCAATTTACTGTGAACAAGTAAAATAAGTCAATACAGATTTACTGTAAACCTCACATTCTGTTAACAGAGTAAAAGCATTTTAAACTGCAGAAAAACAACATGCAATGGTAATAACACTGTATGCCATCTGTAACAAAAAGGCACATAATTAAAATTCAATATTACTTTAAAGATTTTTTTGTTTACATCAGAACATTCCCTCAACCACCCAGTAACAACAGCTTGAGAGTCCATCTCACAAGCCTTGTCAACAAAATGTTTTTGGTGATCTATTGCAAATCTCAAGTTAACGTTGAGTGTCTTTATGGTGATTTTTAATATGAGTCCTCATGTGGCCTGATTGTGTAAAGGCCCTCGGGCAGTGTGGACATGAGTATGGTTTCTCCCCTGTGTGAATATATGTGTGCCTTTTTAAATTGTTGTACTCAATAAATGCTTTACCACAAGATGTACATTGGTATTTCTTCTCAGCGTTGTGTCTCTTCAGATGTCTTGAAAGCTCCATTGTTCGTGAAAACCTTCTATGACAAATGTTGCACTGAAATGGTTTCTTTCCAACATGCACCTGGATATGCTCCTCAATGTCTTTCTTTTTGACAAATTCCTTTCGACAAAACTTGCATAAAAATGACTTCTTCATTAAGCCCTTTCTTACGCAACTTAACAGTGCATTGCTATTGATGAGTTTATTACGCATTGGAGATAAATTACCTCGTAAAAGGATATTTTCACTGCTTGCTCCTCCCTTTTTCAATCTACGTTTCTTGACAGGCTTAATTGGTGTCATCTGATCAGTTTTTGGACTATTTTTAATTTTAACCTGTTTAACGTTTGAAACCCTTTTGGTAACTGGGGAGGTTTTAATAGGACTTCTAAATATATTTGGACAAGCAGATTTATTGTCATCAATGCAAGCTAAAGTGGTTGGCAAATTCACATTTTCACTCTGTTGTTCTTGGTCAGGACTAGAAATCTCTTGGTTTATTGGTATGAAATCTGTAGTCTTCATTGTGAGATTTAGGCCATCTTGTACTTTTTTTGTAGTTTTTGTATGAGTTTTGAGGTGACTTCTAAGCCGATCCACAAGAGAAGCTTTAGGGACATCCTTCCCACTTGAGCCAGCCTGCAAACAAGTAAAAAGAAGTAATTATATTACACTTTCTACCGGGAACATTGTAGAGGATCTTTCAATACAGACCTTTTCTGAATCTTGAGTGACAGGTGAAACTTCCAGCTTAGCCAAGAATTGGGATTTGGTCATGCGGTGCTGAGGGTATGAGTGATCATTGGACACAACAGGTGAAAGCCGCACAATAGTAGTTGACTGGCTAGTAGATTTGATTTTACATTTAGGAGATGTTTGAACATGCTTACTGGACAAATTAGAAGGAGAGGTGTCAATTACAGTACTGGTTAAATCATCTTGAAGTGGCTGGGCTGCAGGTTGACTTGTAGCAGTTTCTGAATTTATTGTTTTTACTGATGAGCCGTTTGGTGCATTTTTCTCTTCAAGCGGTGACATGTTGGCGACAGATACAGTTTGTGCCGATGATACTGGAAATGGCAACCTATTTAATTTAACCTGTGCAGTGTTTTTGCATGGGAAGTTTTCTTGAACAGGGGAGTTTTGTTCAATTTCCAAACTATCTAACGATTCGGGAAGTGCCTGAGTAGTTACTGATGCCAATTGCTGCTTGTCTAGTTCAAGAGTAGTATTATCGTCACCAGTACCAGGGACTAGATTAACATCATTCGAAATGACAGTAGTAGTTGCATCTGTTTGTAGTTTCTTTTTCAGTACAACTGACTTATCTTTTGTTATCGACTGTGATGGTGAGATTTTGCATTGTCTTGGTATTACTATAATTTTATGATGTGGCTTCATTACAGATTTAAGTGAAAAAGGAACAGCTACAAGTGCCTTTTTGCCACTGGGTATGTTTGCCAAAGGTCCTGTGGATACACTTGTGTTCTGAGCTGAACGGACAGCTGACACAACAGCACTGAGCTGAGCAGGAGACAGAGTTGATGAAGAAGTAATGGTTTTAAGAACCGAGTCACATTTATCACCTGTTTCTCCTGGCATTTTTAGAAGGAGGGTGTGTTGAGTTACAGGGTTAAGTGGTGGTTTTGGAGGTAAATCTCCAAGAGAAAATGTAATGTCATTTTCTTGGCTCTCAATGTCAAGAGATGAATGGACACTGATCGGGGCAACACTTTCTGTTTCATCAACTTTTGTTTGCGTTTGCTCAGATTCAGACTGTATTAATGATTCTGGAGGTAACATAACAGAGGGAGGTGTGACGTCAACCATATTATTTTGAGTCTCGTCTGCTGTAGCATGTGCCACTTCAGCCAGCTCAGTTGATGTTGACAAAAGCACAGTATCCACACAGGTTGTCACACTTTCAATTGGGTATTCATTAAGATCTACTGCTTCAAAGGTTTCATCTTGTTTTGAAGGTGTTACACTTCGAATTATTGGTTGTACTACATAATCTGGTTCAACAGTAAAAGCAGGAGTAGTAGTGGTTATCTGATCATGTCCTTGGCCATCAGTGGACATGATAGCGGTGTTGTTGTTTACAACTTGCATATCTTCACCTTGTTTTGTCAGTGTTGTATTGGGAGTTGTATTAGTCGTAGCAGTAGCAGATGACTGATGGGTGGGCAAAGTCAAAATTTTAAGATCATGTTGGTGGTCCTCAATGTCCATGCTAACTGAATCCGTTTCAGTAACTGCCCTGAGTGTTGTAGGTGTTACCATAAGAATGCTGTGATCTATGGCAGCTTGAAGTGGTGATGGTATGGTAAGTGAGGTAGTTTCCTGATTATGTTGTTGCCCCTCTTTACCCATGTTAGCAGGGCAACCTTCTACTATAGCTTCTGCCATTTGTGGCTGTACAGTTTCAGACTGACATGCATTTTCTTCTAAATTTTTTGTATCTGATACAAAAGTTTGCGTTATTTCTGGGTTGTTACGTCTTTTTCTTGTTGTTGTTGCATGTCTTAAAGAATGCTTAGTTTGGGCTTTCTTTGGGGTTGAGGATTTAAATTCATGTAGGTTGACTGCGTCTAGCAAAAGCATGGCATCTTCCAAGGTTACTGAAGTGCACCTCTGCCTTCTCAAAAAATATGGATACTTCAGAGATTGTGAGATTTTCTGTGCTTTTCTTGCATGTGGATCTTCAGTAGACAAGGACTGAAATGCTGTACTGTCAATTTCTGGTCCAGTAGGAGTAACTGTTAAGGCGGCCACTTTTGACGGAGTTATTAGCTGGTCAGCATTTGTTGTAATAGCTGAAGAAACATTGTCAGGTTTCAATTCAAATGAATAAAGTTTGCTTTGTGGATCAATTTCATCTTCCATCTCTGTTATCTCAATCTGTTGCTGAGCAACAACACATGAATCTTTTGGTTTGGATTTTTCACAAGTTACACCATCCTTTACTGTGGAGATTTCCTCTTGCATATAAATAGTTATTCTCTCGTTAACTTCTTTTTGGCTTTCTACTTGGCATTCCAAAAAGGATTCATCCGTTTTAGCACAATCAATGCCAACATCCTCTTGACACGTTTCCTGTATTTCCATTTCAGAAGTTTCATAACAGCTTTCATGCTCTTCAATCAGTTCAACTTGTGGAGATGTGGTTAAAATTACTTGGTCTGATGGGCAGCTAAATGTTTCAGAATATTTAATGCTTTCCTTATTTTTCTGTTTGGGTTTGTCGTCATTTGTGTTTCTTTCCTGGTCAAATGACTTTTCATGTGGGGTTTCATCTGATATATCTAAAAACAGTAATAATATTAAATCAGCGTATTTTAATATTTCATTCAGCGACTAGTTCAAGTTAAATACAGCATGACTTACCAAGTGAGTCATAAGTAACATGCTCAGCTTCATTCATATTTATGAATGAAAAAGAATCATTAGAGCACTCCTGAAATTAACACATAAATATAACAATAACAGTATTTATATCATATATTGCTAACCGTGACATTTCAAATTGAAATGTGGTAAGTATGTACCTTTTCATAATGAGGCCCAAATGAACATTCACTTTGTGTTTCGTTGTCTGAGATATTTGGATCCATGTTTACAGGTTGATGGAAAGCAAGTTCTGTGAACATAAACACATGGAGATTAAAAAAAAAAAATCTACAAAAAAGTAGTACAATTGTGTCTGTTTGCGCATAGGATAAAGTAACATGATTAATATAATAATAATTACTGTATTTTATTATCAATTGTGTATCACTTCCCCACGTAGATATGAAAATCTGTCAGACAGCGCCCCTTTAGTATCAGATAATGGCACATTACTTCCATCTAGTGGCTGACTCCAGGACAAGTCATGAAATGAGCATTCAAGGATGAGCTTTTGTAAGTGTTGTTATATGCTTGTTAATAAAGTTACAATTACAGAGGATTGACCAAATATATGTAATTTTCTTTAAAATGGCCAACTACCCAGTTGGCCATGTGATATACTAAGAAGAATTTTACACTGATAGATATTAACAGAAAGCTCGTCAAACACATTTAGCTCAATTGTTAAATAGGTAGGCTCAAGCTACGTGTTTTTCCTTAGTCTAAGATGAAAGCAGCTGCTATGTAGAACTTTTTATATATACATGTGTAAATATAAGACCATAAAAGATTAAATAAAACAGGCGGGATTGAAGAGTGAGTAATATGACTCACCACACTGGACAGCTTTGTCGCACCTCTCAATAATATAGGGCTCAGGAGATGTCCCAGTCTCTCTGTAAATACTGCGTTTTTTCACTACTTCTTCAAACTGACTGCATCTGATCTTTAGATTCTCGTTTTCACTCTTGACTCTCAGCACTTCAGCCTTCAGCTCCGCAATGATGGTCTCCAAAACTTTACCGCTCTCGGACACCGCGTTCTTTATAATCCTCTCCATAGCAGAAGTGTACCTCTTCCTTATGCCAACTGTCGACATCTTTAAGGTTAGTATGTGTTGTAAATTCCAAGAAAGGCGTCTTTTGCGTTGAGTGTCTATAGTTTGTTGCGAATATTTGTTACTACGAACACGGTCAACATGTCTGCCTTCGCCGTGAACACGCCGAGGTGCTGGTGCTGGTTTTGTGTTTCGGTTTGTGGATCGGTGGAACTGCGCCGCTCACTGGTGTGGAGGACGGTGTAAGAAATTATCTTGAGTTAAACAGTTAAACAGTTAAACAAAAAGTCAACTACTCAAAAAGTCAACTACTCAAAATTGTAGATTTCGCATATTGAGGCATTTTCTTGAAATTAACAAAACGAAGCGGTCTGTTAAAAGTTTTTTCAGGTTTTGGGGAATTTCCTTCTTTGTCAAGTTGTAAATTCACAGCTCGTCAGCGAGAATTCGCACCGCACTAATCACACATTAGTGAGTGCACTACAGTCTATTATATCTGCCCCTACTTAAATTACGCGATAATAATACTCATATTTCCACATAGATCTTTATATTTCCGTTTTATGGTCTTCTCCTGTTTTTCTTCTACACTGCGTGTGGGGACGACAGGTGTCCAGTCCTGTGCTGCCCCTGCCTGTACGGAATAGCAATGCAGACTACTCACGCACGAGTTGTTTTTGCACCAAAGATTGCGCATCATTTATGCCCTACTTTGTGCCAATATTTAGTTCATCCAAAAGAACAACGAATGTGGAAAGTTCAGAGTAGGTTTGCGCACGAGAATTACATTTTTGGTAAGATATGTCTTTCACAGGCCGCAGGAGTTGCTGCATCTGTGGATCTGGTTTGCGACTTGTCCCGATACAGTTGCCGTACTTTCCGGAAGTGCGATTGTTTACGGAATTCTGAGAGAAATCACAGAGAAGAGCGCAAATCCTGCGTTAAAAACACTTTATTCAGATGAAAACGTAAAGTTAGATAGAACACGTTTTCAGTAATTGATTTGTTACATTGTTTGTATATGTGGGGCTGTATTTTTCCGCGGGAAGACGCACTTGTTTCGAAACACGTCGTAGGTCTTCTTTAGCTAATAAGTTGCATTGCTAAATGAATACAAGCAGCTTTGCCTCAGGTTTGCGTTTTGGGGTCCAATTTGAAAGTTTAGCAGGAGTGAGTCCTTTCCCATGAAATATGGCGGAGACAATTGTAGCGTTTCAGTCCCAACTTTCTGGGGTGATGGAAGCTGTGTTTAAAGCTGCAATGTTTGAGATCACTCGTTTGGTGGAGGACACTTTCTTAGAAGAGGTCACCCGCTGCAAAGAACAGGTGAAGACTCTGCAAAGAAAACTCCAGTTGTCTGAGAGTCGAATGAAGCAAAGAGAGGCAGACGCCAACCAGAGATGTGCTAACTGCAGGGGCACAAGAGCAGGGCAGCAGGCGTCAAGTGAGCAGACCACAGAAGTGCAGACAGGTAAAAGTATGACGTGTATTTGTCTTGTCACTACTGTTTATGTTATGTGACTATGACTAACCCAATGCCCAATTGTTTTATACAGAATCACTTGTCAAACAAGAAAGTGAAATGTCCGAAGACGTCAACAGTCCTCAGACACAAGAGGAAGTAAAAGATGAAGTGAAAAACTCTCCCAAAGCCTCCTTGGTAGGACAGACAAGATTGATAACATTTCACTGTTACTATTCTATTGACATACTCTGCTTTTTCTGAATAACAGTCCACATGTGCCCAAAGTAAAAAACTGAATAGAGGGAAAAGGTCCTCAGATCTTCAGGACATGTCAAAGTTTGCTCTGAAAAGGGACAGCAGTGATGGTAAGTACAGTATCTGGGCTACACAAGTGATAACTGCATTACACTTTTTATTGTATAATTTGCATGTGACCTTCACTCCATTCACACTCTACTGTTAGATTAGCATGTCTAGATTTAACCTGTCATTGATTATTATTATTATTTTTTTATATATTTGTCAGACACTGACAGGTAGTTACCAGTAAAAAAGTAATTCAATAAGCAATGCATCATATTCCTCGGTTTCCTCAAACTTCTCCCTTTATTCATTTAGATGAACCCAATATTCCTGGATCAAGTGGCCAACTGAGTGACTCTAAATACACACTCAACTGGGAAGACACCTTTGAACAGAAACAGTCTGAACAAAATGGTGACACGGATCATTCATCTGACCCTTTGTTTCAAAACCGTTATGACATGGACAACATGAACAACTTGAGCTATGAAGATACAAATGTTACTGGCATAGACAATGCCGATGATGATGACCTTGTATATATGGGCCAATATGAAGACACAGCAGATGAACCTCAAACATGTCAGACAGTTGAAAGAAAAGAAAATAGCGGGACCTGGTCTTCCCCTAGTGAAGACATTGACTGTTTACTAATAAATGAGGATGGACACCTGCAAGATCCAAACAATATAAATTCTGATTGTGTGGATTCAGATCAAAATGTAAGGGATGAGCTTAACTGTGTTGGTACTATGCCTTCAGATAGATCAAATGACATGCTTGGGGAAACAAATACCATCACAGATATATCTCATATGATTGAGATGTTGCAGCAACAGACTATGGAAAATGGACTACATACATGTAACTTGTGCCTTGCTACTTTCCCTGACTCTGCTACTCTGAAGGCACACAAGCAGACGCACAAAGAGCCAGAGAAAGGCCTTCCATATTTATGCAACCAACGTCGTAAAACATTCACTCGCAACTGTAACCTCAAAAGTCAAGGGCCGCATCTTTGTGGCCACTGTGGTAAGGCATTTACATCTTTGTTCAAGTTACAGAAACACAAGTGTGAGCATATGGGGGTCAAGCCATATAGTTGTGCAGTTTGTGGGAACAAATTTAGTCGTCTTTGGAATCTGAAATTACATCAGAGAATACACACACAAGAGAAGCCTCATCATTGCTCTATGTGTGATAAAAGCTTCACTCGGGCGGATATTTTGAAGGTACATGAGCGAACACACACAGGAGAACGGCCATACTGCTGCCTTGTTTGTGGACTCAGCTTTAAAAGGCTTGATCATCTGAAATCACATCAGCGAAAACATGCGCCCGATCAGTAATACTTTATTAAAGGTGCACTGTGTACATTTTCTGGTGGAGGATCTGCCACCTGCTTGTCTGTATGGAGAAGTTATTGCTTTGCCGTAAATTTTCCACTATATAGCAGTAAACTCGTCTATCTTCATGCAAACAAGCAGCTAGCTAACTTAGCTCATGCCAGTTTCATATATATATAACACTCTGAATTTAGTTTTACAAATTTATCAGTCTGGAATGGCTCTTGCTGAATATGATCGGGACAGTGCAGACAAATATTTTAATTTGATTGGTGGAAGTGTCACAACAGTGGAACAAGAACCAAAAAATCTTTTGCTTCTCTAGTTGAGAGGACAACACAGACATTTTCCTGTCTGCAAATGCACAAAGTGCAGACCTTCTGCACATTTTTCAAAAACAAAATAGTCAGTATTTTGGCTAAAATAAGATGAAGTGGCCATGGTTGTTTGTAGTTCGCTTAGGCGCTTCGCCTTTGGGTCCTGCACTAACTTCAGTGCTGCTCTGTCATTGGTCTTTGGGCTGCTGGATGAATTTGAACCTTACAGGGGGAGTACCTCAAGACTGATTATCATGAGTTTGTGGATTCACAGATATTCAGAGATTAATATCAAATATCAAATAAATTCTTTCTGTGAAAGGTAAGCAAGCTAACACTACCTGGCCAAAATAACTATCAGATATGTGAAGAAATGGGTCTACTCATAGTAAGAATGCATTTTTTTCCAATGTGTTTTTGAGCAATAAAACACCTAAAATAAAGTAAATGCAAGGCAGATGAGTTTAATGCGATACAGTGGCGCAATGCAAGCAAATCTCCATGGAGACAAGCAAATCCACCACCAGAAAGTGCGCCTTAATTGTGGGAAGTTTTTTATAATTAGTTTTGACTCTATACAATACTTTTTCATGTCTCTAAATATTTGATATTGTGATTTTGTTTTATAATGCCTGCATTGTTATGTTTTTTGTGTTTGGTGTAATTGATCTGGCTTTTTATATTATTTCTTTTCAGAGTCAACTTTATGAAAGAAACTATTTTAATCAAAAATGAAATAAAAAATAGATTTTTGTGTGATTGTCAAGTAGTGTATTCATATTCTCTAATGATTCTCTGAAACAAAACTAAAACAAAAATGTACTTGTAGACTTAATTCTACTGGTATAGGCTAGCGATTATTGTATTATTTACTGCAAGAAAACACCGCATTTTCGATCGACGTAACGATTAAAATATTTGCAGATAGAAAAACATTTCTCAGCCTTGCCTAGACTATGGGGGGCAGCACATGATTTCCGCGAAAAATTGCTGGACCATTGTCAAGAGGAAGAGAAGAAAAAACGCGTTTTCTAATTTTGACTCTGCAGAGACACCGTATTGGAATGAAATGACGTGAGCTTAAATACAAAACACATGAAGAGGAGCTATCTCACTACGAGATATTTACATAAATGTACTATTTAGAGACAGAAAGAGACATTACCAGCTATATAATTCCTACGGGGACCTATGTATTTCAATATCGTCCGTGCGATGCAATGCTAATTTTTGGGAGATGCTTGTTTGCTTCACAAGGCTAAAGTGAATGATAACCTTTATGATAAGTTTACCAAGGACTTTGTGCTGAGGTAGGCAAGAGATAGGCGTGAAATAGCATCGAACAATTTAGAGGCTCTTACAGTTATCTACCATCACGCGTTTTTTGTTATTGCACCTTTATTACCAAGGGGACCCTGTCATGGCGGACATAGACACCCTGATAGTGACTTTCCAAACCCAGCTGTCAGACGTGATGGAGACTGTGGTGAAGACGGCCATGTACGAAGTGACCCGGCTGGTGGAGGACAGTCTGTTGCAGGAGCTGAAGGCTAGGGGCCAGGAGGTAGAGAGACTGAGGGCACAGCTGCAGAGGACTGAGAATGAGCTGAATGATCAAGGAGCCAATGAACCGAGGACTGAGGAGTGTGTTGAGGCCATAAAGGACGAAGACGAAAAGCAAAAAGAACACACAGGTAAAATGCATGTGTTATAACGTTAGGTTAGGTTAGTGGAGGAAGTGATGGTTCAGTTACTGATTTGACGATGATGTTAAATGAATGAAGTGTAATGCAAAATGATCAGAATAATTTTTATTCATGCCCAAGGGGAAATTATTTTTGTTACAGACATGCAACCAAACAACAGAAAACTAGACACAATCAAAAATAAATGTAAATATCAGTAACATAAAGAAAATAATTATAATAAACCTATTAATGAGACCCCCAGTAAAAATAAAATAAACTTACATTTAAACTTAAATAAAAAAAATAAAATAAAATAAAAAAGTACCCTCATAACATATCTACATCTCTTCATACAGTTTGACATACAACAATGAGATATGAACAGAATATTGCAAAATAATTATACAGGGAGATTTTTACAACACAGAGTTCAGCAGTTTGATGGCAACAGGCAGGAATGATTCCCCTCTGTCTCTCAGTGGAGCAGCGTGGCAGTAACAATGTTGGTTTGTCTCTGTACGTGTCATCTATAATAAATTTCACTTGCTGTGACAGCTGATGTCTGAGTTGAGGAAAGGTCTAAAATTTCCAATGTTGTTCTACCAACAAGAGATATTAGCTCAAATCATTACAAGTACATAAAATATGTATAATACAATCTCTCAGGGACCACTACTATTCTATAAAAGAGATGAATCTTAGGGGAGGCATTCTTGAGTTAATAGTCAATTGCTATTTTAGATACATGTGGTCCTTGTATATAATTAAGTACTGTGCTATTAAATGTGTTCTATTTCAGATTATCTTAGGGGAGGCCATAAGGTTGATGATGTTAATAGTAGCAACCATGTAAGTAAATCTGGGCTAATACATGAACTGGAAAAGACGGCTGCTTCCTTCAGCCCAGTTTGGGCGCCACAGGTAAGGTAACAATATCAATATTATAATTGTAAACTTGTGCTCTGCAGACTTTAAACACATCTTACACATGCATATTTTGATCTTTTATTAAGGTTAATGCATCTGACCCTGTAAAACTAATTGACAACATAAAGAAAGAAGTTGTTGAGCCAACATCCTGTTCGTCTTTGACTTTGGAGGAGTGGAGAGTTACTCTTGGTGAGCTTATATTATTTCTTCTGCTAATTTTCAGTGATTGCATAACTAATCAATATCATTTTAATGTGTTTTAGGGGAAGTACGACCTGATTGCCAGACTACAAGTGCAAGGACTGAGTTACAAGACAATAATAATGAGTTATTGAGACACATTGTCCAACAAAAATTAGACCCACAAATTTGTGCGACATATGTGGTTGCTTATGGACAACAGGAGACAAATGCTGCTATACACAGTTGCAAGAATACCTTGCTTAAAGTGGCCTCTATGGCTGAAAATGATTGTGAAGCCAAAAGATCACAAAAAACGACAACAAAGTTGGAGTCTAATGCAAAGGTTATTCCTGGATCCCTGAAGCCAACCTCTAATGTTTTTGGTGTAGCTATAAAACAGGAGGTCATTGTTGATTCTGAGCAGGTGCCGACAGACACTGTAAACAAAGCAATGCCCAACTGTGAGCGCTCAACTTTGCCAAAACAACACATCGTTAGAACAGGAACATCAAAACAAAACCGCATTTACCATAAGTCTTTTGTTCAAGTTCTAAAGGCTAAAGGGAGTTCAAGTTTCAGGTCAAATACACTCCAGCGGTCAATTAAAAGACCTTCAACCATTCAGACAAATGGCACTACCACACCAGGCAATGTATCTCACTTACAGGGTGTAAGCCCTGCCCCTCCCCCTGTGTCCTTGTCTGTTCAGAGAGGTGACAAACATGATCTTAACCGCAATGGTGCCCCGTGGATCAACATCAAGCAGTCTCCAAGTTCCCTTCACACAAACCCTTCTCTTAATTTAAACTCACACTTGGATGGTTCCAGGCCAATATTTCGCTGTGGACAGTGTGGTAAATGTTTCCCTCATCCCAGTAACTTGAAGTCCCACCTGCTGACACACACAGGAGAGCGTCCTTTCTGCTGTGCTCTGTGCGGTCGCACTTTCACCAAACTCAGTAACCTCAAAGCCCACCGCCGTGTACATACTGGAGAGAGACCCTACAGCTGTGCGTCCTGTGGCAAACGCTTTACTCAGAACTGCAATCTCAAGCGACACCAGAGGATTCATCTAGACGCATGACAACATATTTAGAATATATCTAGAAAATGTGTTATTTTTGTGACATTGTAATACCTGTGTTTGTGTTGTTTTGAACAGTTGCGCACCAAACACTTTTCCATATACACCTTCTACAACAATGATGGACTAGATATTAGACAGTTAGCAATTCTAGCCAATCATGGCTTTTCACTTCTGCGAACAAAATCTTCTTTTGATTTCTTATGATTTAGTTGAATTAGTAAGAAGACTGGATATGGTCAGAAATATTAGCTGAAAGATAGAAAACTGTACTCTATCCAAAAACCTTTTAAACTGTGTTTAGATTTTATGAAAACATAGAATGCAAATTGCCAAGTAGTTGTGGGTATTTAAACTAGTTGGTATGTGGTGGTTTGGTCCAGTTACACTGTAATCAGCGCAGTGCAATCAATTGTTGTTGAGTTGAGGTTGGTAGAGCTTTATTTTTATACTTTTTAACCAGTTTTACCATATATCCCTTTTAAATACATATCAAAGACAACATCTTGTGTTTTTTCTGTATTGAGAGCATTTGTTTCAACATAACTTTTGAAAGGCAAAGTCAACTTGAGAGATATGAAATGTTATTTGTGTCTAGTCAATCTAAAATATGTATTCTGTGAATATTAAATTATGTTTGCATTTACTGCCAACTCTGGTTTGATTAATGGATGTTGTTGCTGATGTCTACTGAGGTTCTCAAACCACAGTCGAGTATCATATACAGTAAACATATCCACTAAAATGAAAGGAACAAAGCTGTATAGGTAGCCTACTGGAAACTCTAGGGCAATTTTTTTTACAACTGATATAAAATCTCCAAATTGTAATTGCTATGCTTTTGGGAATATATATAAAAGATTGTTTAAACAATTTGGAAGATTAAAACAAACCAATACTTTCTAGATTCTTAAAATTACAGTAATGTTTGATGTGTGTTAATTTTCATGACATTCATGGACATTATTTAACAGATTTATTGAATCCCACATACATAAAAAGTTAATAATAATGCTTTACATTTGTAATGCGCTTTACAGGCTCAACAAAGCCTCTGAAAGTGCTATATTATAGCTATAGCTATATATACTTTTAGGGCCACAGCTGCCCTGGGGTAGACTGACAGAAGCGAGGCCTTCAATCTGCACCAGTGTGATTCTTAAAACCATTTAATTCACATATAATTATCTTTTGCAACTATATAACTAATTATTTTAGTATCCCTTTATTTATTGGGCTATAGCCTTTTACAAGCATTCTCCTGCTTTTTACATAGACAAATAATGTAGATGCCCTAGAGAGCTCATGCTTGCACCATTGTCTGCATATTACATAATACATAAAAACATGTGACTATAGATGATCTCCGCAGAACTCTGCCAGCTCCAATACACAGGGAACAGCAGAGAGGACAGCAGTATGACATTGGACATTATTTATGAATAGAGGATTTATTTCCATTTGTCTTTTCTCACACATGCACCAGTGGGGTTCACGCTGTCATTATCAATGGACAAGCAGCACATCCCTCATCAGCACAGCGGGAAAAGGGGAGAAGGAAAGGGAGAGAAAATAGGGGTAGAGAGGGGAAGGATAATAATAGCCAGACTGGACCTGCTCCTGACAGAAGCACAGTGTGAAGCCTGTTTGTCCTTCAGGTCTGGTGCTGGTGTTTGGATCACATGACCTGTCTCACTGTGTGGCTCGGTGCACCTACAGACCTGGACAAAGTGGAAAAAAGAAGCGACTGGGCTGAAGTGTTTCAAACAATTAGATCTAATAGTATAGCCACAATAGAGTTTAGATGGCTATGGATATTTTTGGGACAGTCCTGCTTTGCTTATAGAAACCTATTCATCTAAAATAATAAAACTATATATGACATACCTATAAAAAATATGCATTTAAAATTGTCCTTCAGACACCATACTCTTCTTGAATAATACGTTTTACAGGGTAAACATATTTTTTTGTATAACTAGGTGGCTAATGTGACAAAAAAAGAAAAAAAAAAAAGCGTTATGGGTGATAAGATTTATTATTGTGTTTTATCCTTTTAAAATACCGGATGTTACACATGCAGTTTGGTCCATCCAAGTACATTACAAACAATCACTCTAATTTCCTGAAGTACAACTTTATACTGGTTCTTGAGTAATATGAAGTTTTGTGAGTGCAATTTTTGGCTACTCCCACCTGTAACTTGATTAGATAAAAAAATAAAAATAAAAAATTGAATGTGAATCTGCATGGACATATATTTTTTTATTATGTTAAATGTGGTTACATCACTTTAATTCATTCATGAGTTTGCCCATTGAGTTTGCTGTCCCGGAGCAAACTCAGTGGAGCTCTATGGGACAGGCTGAAGTTTTGAGAAAATTTTACATCATTAAATCTACCCATTACTTTGCATTACAGCCTTGACGTCCATTTTGAATAATGAATAAATTAATGCCTTTATTTTGTAAATTTCTTCACATGTACACGACATACAAAGGAATTGAAATTGGACCTGTCACCCCATCCATACATTTGTAAACATATAATACGACACGACATTGGGGTACTAGACATGGACCTGACCGGAAGACAGGTAGCAGAGGGAAAAAACAAAACAAAAAAACCACTGCAGCATAACATGAGGACAAGGGAGGAGAGAAAACAAAAAAAGAGAACATCCCCCAGACTGTGGCCCTGATGGGGGCATAGTATGGAACCAGCACACACAGTACACAACATAATGACTAGACTTGCACCCGGAAAGGGAAGGGGAGTTGAGTTGACCCAACATAGGCCAACAGCCATCCAGATCTTGCAGCCACATGGCACTGGACACAAGACCCGTCCACCGTGACAGGGGGGTGCAAAACTTGGGAGACGTAAAGACCAGTGCTGGCTGGGGGAGGCCAATAAGATAAGATTCAATTTGTTTGAGTTTTGGGTTGAGCAGTTGCGCCCATTTCCACATCAGCTATGTCTCTGTCGGTCTCAAGCATAGACTGTATATATGAATGGACATAGCTAACATGCCAACTGCCGTGTACCAAATAGGAAGTTCGCCAGGAGGCTCTTCCAGCTCCTTCTGACCCTGGCTCCAATTGACTTACATTTGGATCTTGTCGCCCCTCTCTCTGTAACTGCTGCAGTGAGTCTCGTCATTTAGGTCTGAAGATGTTCTTATTAACCCACTCTACATGATCCAGATTTTTTTTTTTCTTCGCTATTTTATCCGTTAAAAAAAATCCTATTCATAACATAGAGCCTGGCTCCAGATTCGCTTCTCTAACCATTAGCATTGCGAGCCTCACAGCCACCTAGGTAATCTGAACTTTTCGAAAAGTAAGGGCCATGCCTAATCCAGTCAGCAAAAGACCTGTAATCATGGTTCCGCATAGGTAAATGTTTTTTATGTCCTCCACGGAAAGAGCCTCCAGACACATGACGCACCAGTTCTCCCAGCCAACCATCGTGTACCCTTGGAGAAAATTCTGAGGGGTACCCAGGTTCACCTTGATCCTGAGCTCTTAAGAAAATGGTGTCAATTGTGCTTAGAGACCAACTTATCAAATCCATAGTTAATTTAGATTTGGAGAGCAGAGCAGCACTGTGCATTGTGCGGTTTGTGAAAACCAAACAGTGGAAGCATACAGGTGACTGATGAATTATAAGACAAATTATTTATATGCATTCAAGATGTAATTCAGACAATAGTGGCCAAATAACTGTCTGTTTCTGGCATTTGTTATAATTCCATATAGCCTATATATAATACATATATTTATAATATATATTTATATTTTTTTCTTTACCATCTGTTAGCCATTATGAACAATGCAAGATGCTTGTAATTGTAAATATCTTAAATATTTCCAATTTATTAGATGTAACTCCAGAGAGAGTGGACCGAAGAAGCACAGGGCCAGAACACAGTCATGTTAACAAGCTCTTTGAAAAGGACATAAGAGCCTGCAGTGTTTTTTCGGCCTAATGATATCATTTGTTCTTCACTACGTTGAATATTTTAATGAAGTATTTAATAAAGGGTATATATTGGGAACTTTGAGCCATCAGATATTATTGGGGTATGTACTGATTAGTGCTCAGGGGGGCAATCTCATTACTGTGTGTGGGGACTTTCTTCCCACAGAAGACCAGACACACACTGATTTAGCCCCTCTCCAAACTCCAATCCAGCGCTGGCCCCATTTTGTGCATGTGTCAATTAATCCAAAGGAGAGCAGTGGTTTATTTAAGAATATGTACAGGGTATAATGAGCCTTGAATCCAGAGATATATCTATATCTATATCTATATCTATATCTATATCTATATCTATCTATCTATCTATCTATCTATCTATCTATCTATCTATCTATCTATCTATCTATCTATCTATCTATCTATCTATCTATCTATCTATCTATCTATCTATCTATCTATCTATGGGATGTTCCACTATGGCATTAAACTTGGGATATCTCCATGTAAACAAGCAGGCAACACTTTCAGTTACAGGTACAATTTGTGAAGAGGGGAGCACACAGACAGTAACAATGCATGTTTTTAATTATCTTTGAAGAGCAGAATAAATACATGTATTCAAATAAATAGATAAATGAGCTTGATGTATTTAAAAGAATAAAGTAGGCCTACTTAAACATTTTCAAGCATTTGAAAAGAAGTAATCAGCTCAGTGGGGGGCAAAAACAAATGATGATTAATTGATTGAAGTTGCTAACCAAACCTCTTCCTATTACTTTCTTATATAGCCCTGCACAACAATTTTAAATAAATAAATAAATAAATAAATAAATAAATAAATAAATAAATAAATAATTGGTTGCTCCATATATGGTAACAACAGTTTGTTACCCATGTTAACTACATCACATTATTGGTGCTATTCCTATTTGCAGTCATGGCCATACTCACACAAAGCTCTTTGTAATTGTTTAAAAAAAGTTTTACCAATCAATATTTCAGTCTTGGCTTGGTTCAAACTCTTTTAATTGTCAGATTTTGCTTTGAACTTGCACTCTGTGTGAAATCTACCACGCCTATGAGTGAGTTTTGAAAGTTCAAAGTGAAATTTCACCTAGACATTCAATATATAATGACGGAAGGAATGCCACCTGCTTGTCTCCAAGTTACAGGTCAGATATGTGGAGAAGCAAGCCCAATCACTGCAAGGATGCATGCTTTTCAATGGATTTTGTTTACAGTTAAAACACCTGTAAATAGGTAAATGCAAGATAGTTATATTTAATGCCATACTGTGGAACATAGACAAAGTAATAATCTCCAATCATTACCAGAAATGTTACACAGTGAAGCCTCAACAATTATTCTGTAGTAATTATGATTACATGGCACTTCATTGATTCCTGCTGTGGCGTAATATTGCCTGCTTTAGAAGTATACCTTTCTATGCTGCGCAGAGATGTTGAAAAGTGCCATTTTGACTTGTCATTTTGCCTGGTTTAGCCAAAGGCGCCAGTCCACCTACGCTCCCAAAACACACAGCTCCTGTCACTGCAGTAATCAGGCTGCTTTTGTTATTCTGTTAAAACACTGACTCTGCCTCTCGCTGTCAAAAGTGGGGGGAAGTCTCAGTGTCTACATTTAGTTGACATCTGCTGTGGTTATATACAACAAATACAGACACTGAATGGGAGTAGTCAGCTTCTTGGA